CTCTCTCTCTCTCTCTCTCTCTCTCTCTCTCTCTCTCTCTCTCTCTCTCTCTCTCTCTCTCTCTCTCTCTCTCTCTCTCTCTCTCTCTTTGTGGAAGGCGGTCTATCACCTGTTACGTGCAGCCCGGAGGTCATCGTCCGGGCACCATGTCTAGACCGCCCCATGCAAGTACCCTCTCTCCCGAAGTGGAGGCTCCATGTGCGCCACGTAGCACGCGCTGTTGCTACTGGTCTCCGCGTGCTCTTCGGCGATGGCAGAGACAAGATAGCGGACGATGTCCCCAACGACATCAAGCCGCGGTCCAAGCCACGAGTCCGGCACGACATTGGACAGCTCCTTGACGAACAAGAAAACCTCCGAAAGGCTGCCGTCTCGCTCGTACCCTAACCCGGCCACGATCCTCATCGCGAGGAGGCCATTAACAAGCGCGTAGTAGATGCGCATTAGCTCGTTCATGACGCTGGGTCCCCAATCCATGTTCCGATGGCGCTCCGTTCCCCGTTCCAGCCGGGTCTCCTGCACGACCACCTCCCTCACCACAGCGGATACGTCCACCATCTCTCTCTCTCTCTCTCTCTCTCTCTCTCTCTCTCTCTCTCTCTCTCTCTCTCTCTCTCTCTCCTTCTCTCTCTCTCTCTCTCGCTCTCCCTCTGCCTTCACGTCCCTTCGCGATCTCTTCTCCCCTGTCCGATCTCGCTCCCTTCGCGATCTCTTCTCACCTTCGCGATCTCTTCTCCCCTGTCCGATCTCTTCTCCCCTTCGCGATCTCTTCTCCCCTGTCCGATCTCTTCTCCCCTGTCCGATCTCTTCTCCCCTTCGCGATCTCTTCTCCCCTGTCCGATCTCTTCTCCCCTTCGCGATCTCTTCTCCCCTTCGCGATCTCTTCTCCCCTGTCCGATCTCTTCTCCCCTTCGCGATCTCTTCTCCCCTATCTGATCTCTTCTCCCCTACCCACCAACGACTGCGCTGCCCAGCGAATCCGCGACTGCCCACGTATATATACGCAGGCACCGGCCACAGACACACGTGAACAACGGGCAAGACAGGTGTCGACTGTCGTTTCCTCGTCCCGACATCCACGACGGGTGTCCCATCACTTGTCTGCTCACCATCAACTGGTGTGTCCACAAATATGTACACACCGGTTGATGGTGACAGGACAAGGGAGGGGACGCCCGTTTTGGACGTCGGGGGTGGGAAACGACATCCGGTATCCATCTTTATATATATATATATATATATATATGTATATATGTAACGATATATATATATATATATATATATATATATCGTCAAATATATATATATATATATATATATATATATATATATTATCGCGAAGAGGGGTCTGTATCCCCCTTGTCGTATGCAGCACCGTTCCCCCCACCTCCACGCCTTGCGAGAACCCCCACGAGCATCTCAAGGACAATGTTCCCGCCACGCATGGCATCTGCCATGTCACCGATCTTCACCGCAATCGCCGAGCCTGCCTCCGATGTTGCCCTCGCCAGAGTGGCAGCGGCCTTATCCAAAACCCTCGCCATAAGACCTTGTCGCGTCCTCCATCGCCCTACCCAATGTTGTCCCTCCGCTGATCGTGTCGTCCATCCTCGCTTTGCCAGTGTTTGTCCTCCGTGTCTTTGCTGCGTGGTCCGAATCCTCCGTTTCTTTCCCGTCAGAAGTGCTCCTCCCCGATGACGGCTGTGCAGGACCGCCGGTCAAAGACTTCCCCCCCGCGTTAGCTGGCAGGTTCTCCGACGCCAGCGTGTTGTCGCACTTGATGGAAGGCCGATTCAGTTTCCACTCCATCGCTTCCCATAGAGCTTTCTCAAAGCCTAGTGGAACCTGCTCCGCCTTCCGCTCCTCAAGGGTCATGTCCCAGTAGGAAGGTTTCCCCGAAGCATTCTCACACTTGTCAAGAATCAACTTCGCGGCAGCCATCATGCCCTGCCACTTCTTACGACAATCCTCCGTCGACCTGTGCGGAAACCCCAACTCCACCATCCGATTGTGCACCCACTCATACCGGTCCTTGCTCCGCTTAAACCGATGCTGCCTATCGGCGTCGGCCATAAGGGCGTCGTGTTTGGCCATAATTCTGGACAGCGCGATCCTCTCATCCAAGGACCAGGGGATGTTTTGCTTCTTGCTTTTCGCAGCAGCATCTTTCCCCCCCCGCTTGTTTGCACGCTTGCTGGTCTGGGGCCCCGCTTCATTCTCGCCCCCATGTCTCTGCCCGACAGTAGCACTGTCCCTCTCCTCCTGCGCGTTGTCCGAGTTTCGCCCATCAACGTCACCGCCATCACCTTCAACTTCATCGTCGCCAACGAAGTCGTCTTCCTCGCCACCAAAGGAAGGACCTTGCAAGCCGGCAAGAGATGGAGCACGACTATGGACAGGCCACCCCTCGTCCATATCCTCTTGTTGAACTTCTGCCAGCGAAGGTGAGGCCTCGGCAGCAGACAGCAGCACCGACATGGGCGAGGTAGCGGACAACCCGCCATGCATGGGTTGCGACGGTTGTCGGCACTGTGGGGACCACTGCCATTCATCTCTCATCACTCCGCCCCTTTCCACAGTGTGCTGGGCGGGGTACACGTGCGGCGCAATGCCATATCCGCGGGCCCCCGGGAACATGTGCGGAAAAGGCATGCCATACCCGCCTCCAACCTGTGTGCAAAACGCCGTCTGGCCCGTGTGCATGGCGGCCGCGTGCAGACTTTCTGCAGCGGGTCGAACAACGAACCGCCGACGTGCAGCATCCACGTGATGGACAGATGGTGATCCCGCCCGAGCAGGAGGCACTTGAATCGGCCCCGCACGCACAACCTCCTGCATCTGCCCGCTGAAGGATTGCACACTCGACAGCGAAGGCGTGGAGTAGTGGACAGATCCTTGTTGTTGCATGTCCTGGGTCTGGAACCCCCCGCCATTGCCCGCACAGGGATCTGTCGTCGACCGGTACGACTCCATCTGGCTGCGGAAGCTTTACACACGGAGGCCAGGGAACCTGCAAACACGCAATGCGCCCTCGAACAACAACGCTGCTCTGCTCACCTCCACCGACGACAGCACAAGTACACGATTGCGCACCGGAAAACAACGGACAACACAAACGCTGCGGAAAGGAGGATGGCAATGGCAAGCAGGACAGCGATAACAGCCAAAGATGGTTGTTTTCGTCGACCGCAGCCGCCGCAGTGGTTGTTTATGACAACATCCACTGAACAGTGACGATGGCAGCTGCCACATCCACACGGCCGACCACAACGTTTGAGAACCGACACGTTGTTAGGAAACCCGGGGAGGAGCTACCTACTGTTCGCTGAAGCCAAGGGCTACGGCGCCTGTCACTCGCCGCGCCCGCTTCAGAGGTCCTTAGCGACCAGTAGGGTCCTGGGAGTTGCTCTGCTCGTCACACCCTCTCTCGAGGATGGCTCATGCGGTTGCTCCCCGATGTCAATATATTCCCCGTTTTGTGATGATCACTATGAGTATATGGGAGCTGAGTCTAGATTCAGTTTACTGTGATCATCAAGGGTAGTATAATTAAAAACGACCCCTATTACGAGTGGTCTATCTGAGTCACAGCATGTCAACAATACTCGTTTTACTATAAGCAACACATTTGTCTAAAAGTTAAACCTTGATCCGCTCCGCTGAGCTCATTGAGAGGGCAAGATGGACAATCGCAAGGCAGTCAAAGCACCAGTTCCCAGTTGACACCAAGTTCATTTTAGAGACAGATGGGAGAACGATTCACCATACTGGGGAAACAGCGTGAGCAGTTGCATACTTAAACAAAACTCAGTCCTCAGTTTTAAACAGTAATTTGATTGTCTGATCTCCTCCTCCTCGTCCTTCTTCTCTGGACTATTACTCTCTCCCCCCCTTTTTACTCTAGTCAGTCCTTCCCTTCTTCACTGGTCCCCCTTGTTCCCACTCACAGTCGCTCACACGAACGCACAAAGAAAATTCAATTGGTTGATAAGCAAGTAGCCTCACTCTCTCCCCTCTCTACGTACATGCAGATGTCAATAAGGGAGACTTTTGAATGCACACAAAGTGCTTCCCCGAGTGAGCGAGAATTACCAAAATAAAATAAAATAAATATTCACGACGACGAAAAAGCTTGCTAGATCTCCCTCAGACCCGGTTCAATGCTCATGAAGTTCCCCTCTTCCACTTACAACCCCCGCGCTCCTAGATTATAGTCCCAAATTCAAACGGGGTTGCTTTCCCGTTCAGTCTCTAATCGACCCGTTCGACGATGCACACCAGTTTCTTTCGGACTTACGAACTTTTTCCCCACTGTCTGCGGTCTTCCAAGATCTGCGAATGAGCCTGATAAAATGGATCTGCTAACCAACAAGAAGATTTTATCGTGTCCTGTTCAACCGATGTGTGTGTGTATGTAGGTGCTTGTCTCTGCCATAGTCTTTGATTGTCAACATCTCTACTTCTTTTTTTCTCTCCCGGTTATGGCATGATCTCCCTCTTTCACTGCGCACTCCCCTGTTCCCACACTCTCATGCTCGAATCACTGACGAAGTTAAAATAGGCTCATGCCCGTCAGTCTCATCACGTACACCTATTCATCCGAACCTGGTCGTCAGGCGAGACCAGGCGCATGTCAGATTGCGGGTGCTCCATGACCATCTCTATGTCTATTTCTCCTAGAGTCCGTGCACGCGTGTATGAGAGTGTGCGCATCTGAGTGCGTGTGTGTTGAGCTTGCTCACAGATTGGGCGCGCACCAGACCGCTGCCCCCTCTCGCTTCCTGAAGGTAAGCGCTCGAATCTGCAGCTAAATCGTGGGATGATGCACCGACTTCCCCTGTGCAAGTACCCAGACCCCCCCCCCTTTTTTTCTTTTCTCACGTGATTAGCATGGATCCTCCGCTGGGGTATGGAGATACGCTCTTCAGTTGATACAAAAGAAAAAAACGTGATRATTTTCTCTATCTTCAGCGCGATGTGGGGYGTTCACTTACCAACCGAGTGAGAACAGTTCCCCAACAAGGGCTCGGAAGGGCTCAACACGATAYAGTCACTGCCCCGTTAGATATCTCGCCGAAAGAGGACAGAGTTACTCTTCTTCAAGTAGATGGAGGCTCGCACAACCATAATGTATTCCCGCAGTGGTTTCTCGTCAGCATCACCATCCCAACTGGGAGTAGGGCAAGCTGTTCGCGGAGCACACCTGGCGCACTCCTTCTTTCCCACCCTCTTCTTCTCTCCTCTTCTGGATTAGTTGGACACAAATCTGACCTGCTAATGCTGCTGCGCGTACATGCCACGTGTTCCTTACTCTCTTTTCCCCGTCTTTCCCCTGTCTGCATTCGTCTCTCTTGTCGTTCGCCCAAGCGGGCTGTATAAAAGAGCAAGCTGGCGGCTGAGCACACGTGGCTCCCCYACTTACTTTCTCTCCGTCCCCCCTACRCCATTGCTCCCTGCGCATGCACGTAAGTCAACTGAGCTCATTGCGCTCGCCTCTGCCTGTTCCGAACCGGGYTGCAAAGTGGGCGGTGWACACCTGGCAAGCCGTCCACTGCGCTCCTCCGCTCTCTCGCTCATGCCTTCTCGTACTCACTTCCTCTTGCATTGCACACTCTCCTCCCCCGCACAGTCTCTCTCTCCCTTTGCTCAGCCTCACTCTCTYTCCCGGTGTCTGACCAGTTTATYTAAGGTAGTAGCTRGGAACGCCTCGCACACACCGTCTGTCTCCCCCTGCCATTACTCACACGCCGTGACCGCCCGAACACGGACGCCTCAGTCTTGCTTGCAAACGCGTCTCTCCCRTTCTTACTCCGCGGGGACACCTTGCRCTCCTCCCTCTGCYCCAGCMCTTCGCCGACCGTGCACGCTTCCCTCTGTTGCATTGACTCCCCCCGCATCCGTACTGTCACGTGGGCTGGGTACACCGTGCATACCCCCCCCTGCTCTCTAGTCCCCTTTCCCGTTATGGTTTTCCCGCACAGCTGAACGTGGTTTCTCCTCCTCCTCGTCCAATCCGCAGGCCTTCGTAGGCTGAAGGTAAAAGCAGGGTCAGTCCCAGCACTGGTACAGTGGAACCCATATATAGTCTCAGCGGGACCTGCAACCGAAACCTGCTGTAAAATGAAAGCCAGATACTTCCGTATGGCAGGTACCCGTACCAAACTTGCCTCTTTTACGCTCCAAAGCCAACCACGGTACTGAAAAGCAATTGTATAGTACCAGTTACCAACACAAAAGCCGAACCGCTGTCCAGCTGTTGCTCCCAATACCCAGTTACCATGCTTGTTCCGTATCTGTCCCGGATCAGAGTGTCGGGCCGAACTAGAAATAGCCACTTGACAATTTTGAGCTGCCAACACCGAACCTGAAAGTGATGTAGTGATGTGTATCATACCGATGCCGGATACCGTAGAAAACTGAAAAGCCAGGGTAGTACCGAACCTATTCCGGACTTGAAACAACCATCCCCGAGCCTGAAAGAAAAAAGCAGACGCGTGTACCACTTCGGCGCCGAGCCAATGCCGTGTCAATACCGAACCCGAAAAAGATTTGCGGCATGTACCTCGGCGATGTTAAACCAACGCCGAACACGTGACAACCAATACCGAGCCAACACTGAATCTGAGAACATGTCAAATGCCGCACAATACCGTGGTCCCAAAGCTGAAATAAAGCGCCATAGTGGCACCGAATGTGGAATAAATGGCCGCAGTGAMGGTGCCGAACCTGGGTTAAATATCCGTGATAACGCCGAACCTGGGATAAACTGCCGCCAACGTCTCTAACCTGGAATAACTGTCGTAGTAGCCCCGGTYCTGAGAGTAAATCACCGTACCTGTCCCAAACCTGAAAATAAGTCACCGTTGTGAAACAACTGCCACCGRCCAGACACCATAGTACGAACCCACTCCGTAACAACCCTCGTATCCGTACTGAACCAAACACCATAGTCGACCCATGGTAACACCACCCTATGYTGTCCATGCGATCGTCCTCGGACTGTCACARTGAAGTTAGTAAATAGGTGGATCGGGAAAGTGGCACGAAAAACCTTGATCATCAGGGATTTGGCGAAAAAAAGTTGGGATCCAGARAAGATTGATTAATCGGGGTTCARAGCCGGCGGTGGGAAATCCAAGCRAAATCAGGCCAACCATCGAATAATCATCGGTTCTTGTTCGTTCCATCATTTTTAATYATCCCCCCCTTTTTTTTAACTCTATTACCCGAAATAGTAAAATAATCGTAAACTTACCAAAAATAAATTCCGAGGAAGTCTTTATTAAATTGTTGAAATTCTTTGTTCCTTTCCTCCTTTACCATTTTTAATCTTTCCCTTTGTTTTCAATTCCATTGCCGGAAAACATAAAAAATAACGGAGTATTTTCTCCAAACTCAAATGCTGCGAAAAACAAGGAAATTAAGGAATATTATGTTTCTTTATTCCCTCCTACTGATCTCATTCTCTTTTCCCATCTTTGATTTAGATACCAAAAATGACAAAAATTTGAGGCGCTATTTTGACCCCGATCATACGCTGCAAAGAACGTCGCAGCGGGGTTAGTCCCCGCAATGCCCCCGCGCGGCAGACCAATTTGGGTCTAACCCTCCGAACGACAAAAAATGACGGTCCGTTGATGTGCCGAGTACGACCACCCATCTTGCCATTTTTTAGGGTTACCCGTAAGGTCCAGTGCGCCCAAAATCAAGGGCGCCCCGAGGCCCCCTAATCTCCCCTGCATGGTCTAACCAAAGTACCGTCAAAACTCAGACTGGTGTTCGCGCCTAAGTCCCAAAACCGTAGATTTCAGGCGGCGCACTGCTTGCGGCCGCCAGACAGTTAGCCCGGACCACTTCTCGACGCCCCCGTCGAGCCCTAGCAACTTACATCAGACGAAGCGGATGAGCTTCAGGGTTATGACCCGTAAAGGACACCCACGTCGGCGCTCAATTGTCTTATGTTTAAGTTTGTTACGAGTCCTGGGGCTAAGAAGATGCTTTTTGTTTCTCCTGTTTCTTTTGGTTTTTGGTCCCGTCACGATCCTCTTTTTCTTCTGTCTTTGCCCCTAGAAGGGTGTCGACCCGCCAGTACGTCTAACGCGAACTCTCCGTCTAGCTCGCTTGAGCACAAATATCCATCTCTTCTTTCTCCCTAAAGCTAACCCTTTGACCTTTCTCTTCTCTATTCTTTTCCTTTTCTTGGAACTCTCCCCTGCCTCGAATTGGCTCAAGGGGGCTCCATCCTTCATCATGGCTT